GGAGAAGATCATCTCTTGTACTTTCCACACACACTTCCACATTTATGGGACTTCTTTTGTAATTATTCAGAAAACAGATTTAAAAATAGAGCTGTGCAACAGTGGATAAGAAAGACAGACCAGCAATTAGGATAACTGTAGATATTTTGGGATCCTGGGTTCAATTCTTTGCTCAACCACAAGACTTTCGGTGGGACCTTTCACAAATCATGCAGCACTAGATCCATAAAGGAATTTAGATGTTGTGATGCCCAACTTTTGGAAGCACTACTGATCAGTGGATTACTTAGCTGGAGACATGCTACCTTACGGCACTTTTACATTCCCTCCGGGCATGGGAGATGGCCACGCTATAATTAGAACGGCTTTGAGAGCCCCCGCAGCCATTTTTAAGCATGGGGACACTGATACATGAGATGCAAGAAGCTGCTGGAGCGCAACAATTACCATGCTTCAGCTGACTTGATTAATCGAGTCTTATCTGACATGCTGGAGCAGCCTCTGCCCTCATGTATAAGTGCCTTAGTCTCCCAGCTCTCCAATGAATATCCTAATCATTAGTCTGTATGGTGAGGTTTGCACAATGCATCTTTAATACAAAGTGGAACGGTTTCAGTGGGTGAGTGAACAACACTTAGTTGATAACTTTTGGGTAGGTCACTCTCCTAAACTGCAAGACACCTGTGTTCAAGTCCATACTCTAAAACAGGCAGAGGAAGGCTTTGTAAACCATATAACTTGTTTCTCAAATAATTACTAAAACTTAAAATACTATGTTTCTACTAGCTGCCAAAACAGAGCAACTACATATAATATGCTACCCACCTCAGGAAGACCAAGGCACAATTTGAGATGCAACTGACAAGGGATGTAAAAGGGCAATAAAAAAAGGACTCTATAAGTTAAGAATAAGAGGAAGCCCAAAGAACGTGTAGGTCCTTTACTCAATACAGAAGGCAATTTAGTTATAGGTGATACAGAGAATGCTGAAGTATTTAATATATTTTTTTACTTCAGTTTTCACAAATGAAGTCAGGTATCAGATGATGAGGGCAGCTGGCAGCAAAAATGGAGGAGTAAACAGCTTAGAGCAGTGGCGGTCAACCTCCAGCCCTGTCAGGCCCATGGGTCTTTCCCAGGTCTGGAAATCTGGAGACAGGGGAGCAGTGGCAGTGCTAATTGCCACTTCTCTGCTGCCAAATTTCCAGACCTGTGGGGAGCCTGTGGGGTTATAGTGATTGGTGAGACAAAGGCATCCATTTGTTGTCCTGGCCTAGAATTGCATGAGGTGTGCTGTATGGTGATCAGGAGAGGTCCCAGAGGATTGGAAAAGGGCAAACATAGTGTCCATTTTTAAGAAAGGGAAGAAGAAGGGTCCAGGGAGCTACAGACCAGTCAGCCTCACCTCAGTCCCTGGAAATATCATGGAGCAGGTCCTGAAGGAATCCACCTCAAAGCACTTGGAGGAGAAGAAGGTGATTAGGAATAGACAACATGGATTCACCAAGGGCAAGTCATGCCTGACCAACCTTTTTAAGTAGGAGATCACCTTTGGCATTTAAAAGCAACCCAAGATCTACCATGTGCCAACCCCCCAGTAAGTCTGTGGGGAGGAAAGGTGGGGGATGGACAGATTGAGGCAGAGGGAGACATTTTTTGCAGGGGTGCTCTTCCCCAGCAGGTAAGTCTGTGGAGGAAAGGGTGGGAAGAGGGGAAGGGGCCATGGAGAGGGGCAGATCAAGGCCCCAGCCCTAGCCCCACTTCCTCCCTCACCACTGGGGCCTCGATCTCCCTCCCCCCTCCAATAATGGGGAGGGAGGGAGGGAGGGAGGGAAGGGGAATGAAACGGGCAGGTCCTGCACAGCTGGGGTGGGGGACTAAGCTGTGAGCAGCTCACCCGGGGGATGCGAGGAGAGGGGGCCATGCAGCCCAGGCAGGCATGGAAGGCATGTGCCCCCAAATCTGCATGCTGGCTGGGGGAGCTGCCTCTGGGGGCTGGGGCTGGGGCTGCACCAGGCAGTGCTGGGAGTGGAGCTATGCAGGGGGCACAGGCACCTGAAAATTCACTGTAGCCTCCGCTCCCAGTGCCGCCAGCTGGCCTGACCACAGCACAGTACAGCACAATGCAGTGCAGCAGTGTAGAGCAAAGCAGACCACCACCATGAACAGCGCAACACTGCCTTCCAGCTCCAGCCCATCCCTCCCCCCCGCAGACCCCATAGGGGAGGGGGAGGGGGAAAGGTAGAGCAGTGGTGCATTTTTCACAGCAGTGGTTTGCTTTGCTCTGCGCTGTGCTGCACTGCGGTTGGGCCAGCCAGCAATGCTGGGAGCAGGGGCTACGGTGAATTTTCAGGTGCCTGCAGCACCCTGTGTAGCCCTGCTCCCAGCATCGCCTGGCACAGCCCTGGCTACAGCCTGCAGCAGCAGCCAGCCTGGCCAGCATGCAGATCTGGGGGTACATGCCCTCCATGCCCTGCTGGCCTGTGTGGCCCCCCCTCCTCGCGGCCCCTAGACGAGCTGCTCATGGCTTTGTCCCCCTCCCCAGCTGTGCAGGGCCTGCCCCTAATCCAGCCCCCTCCCTCCCTCCCTCTCTCACCACTGCTGCAGCTGCTGGTGCTGCCTGGTGTATGAGGGAGGGCATATAGCCCCCTTTGTGCACAGTGGATGCAGCTGCTATTGCGGGCTGGGCTTTGTGCCCTGAGCCCAGCTGCAGCCCACCCAGGAGTGGCATGACGCCATGTTTGCTTGAAGTCCTGCCCTCTTGGGAGTGTCTCAGTCAGCAACACAGGGAATCTGATTTTCTTCATTTCTTGAAGTATCTGAGACCACAAGAAGAGCAAGATTTCCCAAACAGAGGAGGCAGTGCTACCCATCATTTTTATCCATAGCTTAGTGACTACAGCTCTCACTGAACATATGAGAATGGCAGATGTGAGTTCAATTCCCACCTCTGCCTGAGCAGCAT